AACCAAAATTGTATAGTAAGCTATGAATGACACCCATAAAACAAATTGTGAAACAATTCAAAAGAAAAAAACCAACGACCTGTTTTTTGTGCTAAAATCAATAAACCAAAAACAAATATGGCAAGCAAAATCAACAACAACCGATTGATTTTAAGCTTCTTGCTTGGGAGAGGTACATGCATGTGGCGGCTTCAGACATATTTGTGAGCGCTCTATGTTCCCCATTGATTCGTCTATTTTTAAGTTGAAAGAATATATGAAAAGAAGTCGAAAAACCTGTCTCATTTCTGTTTGATACAAGGAGTTAATCATTTGTTTCGGTAGACACTTATAAGCTTAATCAAACAGGTCTGTAACTATTTAATGATCAAGACACAAAGTCAATCTAAGAACAAAACAAGCAAAACTCAAGATAGACAAGAACAACTATAGTGTAACGCAAAACAAGAAGAACCAGATGAATGAAATGTTTTCGGTTAAGATAATGTTAAACAGATTAACACAGAAAACAAATAGTTTGGTTATAATCAGTTACATTTAGCGAAAAACAATCATGGGAGGCGGACAGTAATTATATTTTTTTTTGGAATTTGTCTTCGATTGATAGAAAATTTTGTTATTTGACGTATTAAAAACTATGACAGAAACAATTTCTGTTTCCTCGAACAACAATACCAAAGTTATTCTACTTAAATAGAATAAATTTACCTCTGATATGTATGCTCCCATACTTTTTAATTTCAGTTTTATTCCGATATATAGAAATAAGAAGATGTGGTATGAGTGCCTATGAGACAACTCTCCATACAAGTCACAATGTGTAAAAAGTTAACAAAAAAATGTTTAAGTACGGCCTTCAACACGGAGCCTTGGCTCACACCGAACAGCAATATATAAAGGGTCCCAAAATGACTAGCCTTGTCCAATGGATTCATCGCTTACTTGTTTTTTATACACATTTTCTGAACGTAAATTAGTTAACCATGCTTTTTTATTTAAAGAAAATGTAAATTAACATGCAATCAATATAACAACAATCACATTAGTCTAATCACGTTCAAATATTAATACTAATAACAAGTAGATATCGTAAAGGTATCTTTTCACTAAACGTGTAAAAATATGCTTTGCTGATATTGAATATTTTAACATTGACATTTTACATGTTTTGTCTTACATTCAGGGGGGGGGGGGGGGGGGGGCTGAATGGGTTGACGGGATGAGCCTTCATACCTGTATTTTTTATTTGTTTTTCTCTATATTTTTTCTCCATATTTTACATTTCTATATATTTAAGGTGGTACCTAACACTACAGGGAGATAACTCTATAAAAATCAGCTAAACGTTTTAATTACGTTGTATTGTTAAGGAAATATTAAGCTTCTCAATGATCAAAATTAGTGTTTGTCAAACTGCTATATAACCAAAGAAATTTTTCTGATAAAGTGGTTGGTTCAAATTTTTTGAAATTTTTATATTTTTGTCAAAGGGTCAAAGTTAACATTTTGTCAAAATTTTATGAAAATTAAACGAGCCAAATTAATATTAGTCAAGGTGTTGGGTACCACCTTAAGTACACAATTATTCTCTTTTCTTTATATAGCGCATTTCTTTATTCTTTATTCTGTTACCCTTATCCAGACTCTCATTCAGTAGCTTGAATGAATTCATAATAGTATATAATATGTCCAGTCTAGGTTGCGTATCCTTCTTTGCCAGAGCTGAAAAACTATCGACATTTAACCGTATCAGTCATTCCATATTGATGAAAGTTCCTCAGTTTATCAATATCATCAAAGTTCAACTTATCAAAGTAGAAATTTGATCTCATATATGAAATTCAATGACTTCTATTTTAATAAAGTTGAGAATGGAAATGGGGAATGTGTCAAAGAGACAACGACCCGACCATAGAGCAGACAACAGCCGAAGGCCACCAATGGGTCTTTTCAATCCTGAAAAGAACGAAATAACTGCCCATGGGAATCTTAGCTTAGACTTGTAAATTTCAGAACTTCATCAAGTTAATTGTCATAATCAGGGTTCCCTACGTGAAACCTATTAGTTTCATCTCATTACTTTTTCCTATCCTCAGAAATTTTAAAAATAAATATGCGCAATCCCGGGCTTGATTACTAAGCATTGTTAATAAATCTGCGTACAGGGCAGTGTATTTAAGTTCTAGAGAACCTTTTACACTTCCGGTTTGTCTGCTTTTAGGGGACAGAGTGATGATCAACGGATCCAGTTCTATCGTTTTCGTTGTTATTGTTGTCTTTGTGAAATTTTTATAATTATATCATTCATAAATATATTTCACAAAATGACCATTATATGCACATTTCAATCTCTGAAACGATGTACAGTATTTATAACTTAAGAATGGTTTTGAATGTTTTCCTAACAGCAGTGGTATCGTAGTATCAACAGGGCATTAATGTGTTTAAAATAGGATATTTTGCCTAAACAACATACATCATGCATACGTATGCGCACAATTGTTTTCTAAAACGTTTTTATGTGATGAAAAACGTGTATTTTAAAGTGGTGCTTTCAAGCAAGGTTTCCTCCCCTCCACACACATATACATGCACACACAAATAATGATAAAATGTAATAAAATCAAAGGATTTGACCCGCTATCCTTTTATTTACGACACGATAATTCATCTGTACTGAGTCTGACACTTACAAGACATCAGTTGACTGTTTGTAAACTAGAGCATTCGGTCATTGCAACATGTAGATATACATATATATATATATACATAATGCATATTTAGATACGATCTGGGTAAACTTATCGATCCTTTAAATAAACTTATTCTAAAAGGTAAGAAATTCAACACTGTAATTAGATCTTTGAATATTGTTCTTATTGGTATAAATATTGATTTTGTTATAAGTAAATTAAAACCAAACTAAATATTATTGTTACAAACCTATTCACGGTTCTACAATCTGTCGATTCCTGTATCTTGACAAGGTCATGTTCTTCTCTGACTGTTAATGACGTCTTTATGCTAAATTCATTGGATGTTGGGTGTGCACTGATTGATATTTTAGTCTTAAATATATGATTTTATTTTATTAGTTGTTATTGGCATCCAACTAGCTGTCAGTAACTGCGAGAACTCTCATATCTGTACTTAGTGTCTGTTTTGTTGTGGGGATTTATAAATTCCTTGCTACGTCTGTGTTTTTGTTAGTAGTTTTTCTGCTTTGAATCGATCCGATGAGTTAAGCCCTTTTCAACTGATTTTTATAGTTTGTTCTTATGTTGTACTGTTACACCACTGTCCCAGGTTAGGGGTAGGGTTTGGTGCCTTCAAACTAGTTTAACCCCGCCACATTCTGTATGTGAATGTCCCAGGTCAAAAGCTTATAATTTTGTGGTTGTCGTTTGTTGCAGTATATCATATTTGTTTTTCGTTCATTGTTATGTACATAAATAAAGCCGTTAGTTTGTTTTCTCTTTTGAATTGTTTTACATTTCTCTTTTCGGAGCCTTTTATAGCTGACTATGCGGTATGGGTTTTGCTCATTGCCGAAGGCAGTACGGTGACCTATAGTTGTTAACTTCTATGTCATATAATCTCTTGTGGAGAGTTGTCTCATTGGCAATCACACCACACCTCCCCATTTTTATATATAATACGACAAATATTTCAGGGAAATTGTCAACGACAGTATAATATGTACTTTGTAACAACTATTATTTTGTTATAAAACATTTAATGAGAATGGAATGGAATGATCAATCGAAAATAATCATTATGCTAACATTATTGGAAAAGCGATGTGTGACATAATAATCGGACGGAGAGAACTACCGGAGACTCGAGTGTATTCGTTACATATGTTTCATTTTTTGTACAAGTTGTTATGTTGCACAGATTACAAAGCTACCATATTAATAGCATCTTTATCTATTTTATGCTGGTCTGTCGTTAGTTTTCCATGTGAGGGCAATACATTGATTAATGAGTCCCGTTTGTTTCTAGTAGTGGTTGTTTCCCCTTCCTGATTCCTATTCCTTACTTATTTGATAAATTATCAAATGACCAAATTTTGTTTGATCTTAAACATATTCCCTTTTTCGCACACTAATAACAAATAAAATATGCCGCATGGCGCATGAAATTTATGAGTAAGAGCGAAGACTGATAAACTAGGTTGCAGAATAATGTGCCCGGGTAGGGTAACATTCGAATATGGAATGGAAAAGCAGAATATGTCAAAGAGACAACCACCTGTCCAAAGAGCAGAATTCCTGTGGACTGTGACCTTATGAACTACTGCATAACCATATATCCTCCTTCTAATAGGCATGTTATATTTGCCAGTGGATTCAAAACAACACTGTAGAATAAATAATATACAAGAAGTGTGTACAGATGCTTTTGATCGGTAAACTAATGTCCCCTTAATTTGACATTCAGAACTGTATTGTATTTCTTTAGTTCAATGGAAAAGTTATATAACGGTTGCATTAACGTCTTGTTAAATACAAAAATATTGTAGGACAAAAATGAAAAATAATACTTCATAATTTTTTTACAAACGAACTGGATCTACCTTAATTAGGAACGTTCCAACCCCCACTAAGTAAAAACCAAGGATTCACAAGTATATGAACAAGCGAAGAGGTTTAAAAAATAGCCAGATCCATCTAAGGATAACTTTGCCTGAACTATTTATGTATAGTATATTCATAGTCTATCGTAACACTCAATATGGAGATTAACAACTAATTTACTACATATAAACGAGTAAAGTAAATCAAGGCTTCCCAGGGAAATCAATTCATCAAACATTAATTAATGTCAACACATTTTCCCTACATTATCTATTCATACACCCACGTTCCAGTCGATAGAATATTTTCAGGGGAAATATTTTCATAAATTAAATGATTTGATAAAATATTTATATTTTCTATCGGTTACTGTTTTGTATTGATTGTTATAACACTAGTTTATTTTCATTGATTTTGCAGACGACATGAAGGATGTTAACTGGTGACATATTTGCCGTATAAATCAACTAATTGTGGTAAGTTTCTTTAATATCTTTTTAATGTCATTACTTCAGTGATAAGAAAAAAGGTTACCACAAACAAGGGAAACGCTGCTAGTAAAAATAATTTGCCACAGTACTTATTACTGTATTTCCTCTCAATATTGGTATTTTATCTGCATTGTTGTATATTCTCTAATGTATCAACAAATTCCTATGAAATTAATTTTTACTACCACTTTATGATATCAGATTACATATATGCATAACATATGTAATTCAAGAGTTTTATCATTATCGTAAAAATTACTTTAACTATAGCAATATTTTTTTTACTACGTTCGAATACTATAGTATAACATCAAATAACAACAAAAATCGCGAATATTGTTATCATTATATTTATTATTTATATGAGATCATGACCGAAAAATCGACTATCCTTACTTACATGTTTGAAGGTATTTTTGAAACTATGTTTGAATAGATTTCCTTGATAAAGGGTTAAATTAACAAAGTAGCTAAGCAAAAAGGGTTCAAGTTATAAAGTTGAAGTCATCTTTTTGAAAGTTTACGGACGCCATTATGGTTTTGTTGACAGTTATGGAATATCTGTGTCACATATGAGTACGGGATCGTGCTACTTGTTGTAACCTAGATCCCGCCTGTTTTTTTTCTATTTTGACATTACAGAAAGCGACCTGTTTTTGAATTTTTACTTGCTTGATCAACTCGACGGCGCCACATGTGGAGCAGGAACTACCTATCCTTCAGGAGTCCCTGAGTTCACTCCTGGTAATTGAAGAGGTTTGAGTTGCGTAGTCTTCAGTTTTCTGTCTGATATTTTGTTATCGTTGTTTATTCTTTTGTTAATTAAATGTTTGGCCATTATCTTGTCTGCATTTATTGAACTTAAGATTTCCGAATGCCCGGCTAGATATCTTCTTTCACTTTTAATAGATTGGAGGGATGACAGGATAAAAAAAATAGGTTTCTGTGTAAAAACGTTCATCCAAATCCCGATTCTGACATTTTGAATGAGTTTGAATTCATTTGGCAGATGTTCTATGAATAGCAAGATACGCCATCGGTGTCCTCCTTTTTGGGGGTCTCATTGGGGGGTTCTGATCCCGGATCCAGCTTACTGTTTTGTCAGATTCCCGTATCCCGCTTACACTATGTACGTAAGCAATTCTAATTTTTTTGTAATTTCTCGTGTCTCGCTAGACTTCATTTCCCGTTTTCACGGCACAATAATTTGACTTTCACGTGTCACGCTTACAAAAAATCGGCAATCCCGCGTCACGCTTAGACCCCAATGAGACCCACCTTTTTGGGTTCATGCGATTTCCTCAGTCTTTATTTGTTACCTTAACTTGATTTGTATATCAGTAAACAACTGCTGCCTCAATTTATCGAAGGATATAGAAGTCTTTAAGACGTACACATATTAATGTCCCCAATTGGGTAATACTTTATGGGGAAGTAGCATTTTTTCTTGGATTGGGGGAAAACATTATTTATTTATTTGGCCTTATTTCTTAAGCTCATTTACCACTTCATCTATTATGAATAAATGTTTTGCGCAAGTAATCTGTGGAGTAAACCATATTGTTGCAACATTTTTCTTTAATTCATCCTTATCTTTAACCGATAGTTAAAAGATATTTTTGGAAGGGAGGTCATAATTCATGAATTGAATATGGAGCAACCTGCACTATATTGTGTTCTAATGACTTCTCGTTTCAATTTTCTTTGTAATATTTTAATTACAGTATCTCTATATTAACACAAAGACAATGATGGACGGTGATGATATGTGTCTTTTTCAATTACATTCTAACACAATCTAACGACATTTGTGATTTCTATAGAATTAATCTGTTGAAAAGCAATCGTAAGTCCTTCAAGGAATCAAATCCATTAGAGCTGTGTGAAATACAAACCATGTGATTAATTTATCTTAGCTTTGATAGATGTGCATGTTTTAACTTGTTTTTGTTGAATGTGTTTTATAACAGAAACTGAAATATCGAACTATGTTTTAAAATTTAAACCAACCTTAAAAACATGTGTTCGTGACCTCAGCCATTGTGTTTAATATCATGAAAATATAATTCTGAAATAGTGCAAGAATCAGATAAATGATAATATACATTGGTCAGAATTATGTAACAACTAACCAGTGAAATGTCCCTTTTCTTTTTTGTTCGATAATCATTACGAATCTTACCAATAGGTCCGGGGACACAGTTATCGTCCTTTGATTTTCGTTGTCTACGAATAGAGTCCCTAGTGTGGACAGTGTTTAACTTGCAAATGAAAAAAAAATTGGGCATGCATTTTTAGGTTAAGTAGTGATTTGGTCCAGTTTAAAAAGGTCAAACATTAGTATGTCTGAAGCTGTCAAACTGAATTACAGACCCCCTTAACAGTTATCCGTATTTTGAGTTAGAGCCGATAGACTTTTCTATAATTTTGATATAATTTGTCCCAAAAGTATTACACTACACTGTAAAAATCTTTTTTGGAAAGAGAAGGTGCGATTTTTTGTCGAGCCTTCGACTTTAGTCGAAAAAGCGAGACATAGCGATCCTACATTCCGTCGTTGTCGTCGTCGTCGTCGGCGGCGGCGTCCACAAATATTAACTCTGTGGTTAAAGTTTTTAAAATTTTAATAACTTTCTTAAACTAACCTGGATTTCTACCAAACTTGGACAGAAGCTTGTTTATGATCATAAGATAGTATCCAGAAGTATATTTTGTAAAAATAAAATTCCATTTTTTCCGTATTTTACTTATAAATGGACTTAGTTTTTCTGCCGGGAAATATTGCATTCACTCTGTGGTTAAAGTTTTTAAAATTTTAATAACTTTCTTAAACTATCCTGGGTTTGCACCAAACTTGGACAGAAGCTTGTTTATCATCTTAAGATAGTATCTAGAAGTAAATTTTGTAAATAAATAAATCCATTTTATCCGTATTTTACTTTTGAATAGACTTAGATTTTCTGCCAGGAAACAACATTCACTCTGTGGTTAAAGTTTTTAAAATTTTAATAACTTTCTTATACTATTTTGGATTTGTACCAAACTTGGACAGAAGCTTGTTTATGATCAAATGCTAGTATCTAGAAGGAAATTTTGTTTTCTTCCAGTTAACATTACATTCAGTCTGCAGTTAAAGTTTTTAAACATTTATTAGATTCATAAACTATCCTGGATTTTTACCAAACTTGGACAGAAGCTTCTTACAATCAAAAGATAGTATCAAGAGGAATATTTTTATTGATTTACTTCCTCATTTTTGTTGAGCCTGCTATTAACAGAAAAAGTAGGCGAGACACTGGGTTCCTCGGAACCCTTACGAATTTTTTAATTTGCCTTTTTTTGTCTTAAAGAAATGCACTACCAAATAACTGTGTTTTCGGGCCAATAGTAGCCATACTTGGAGCAAGAAGTACTTGATGGACCAAGTACTCTTACTCCATTTCTGATGTATTTTGGTTTTTTCTTTTTCTGATCGATACTAGCTTGTCCATGTAGTTCACATTCAATGTATAATTTTGTATTCATAAAAACTTGACGATTTAAGTCTCCTGATCCGTAAATTTATCGATTGTGTACTTTACCGATTATGACATTTTACTCCCGGTTTTTGGTGGAGTTCCTGTTGCTTAGTCTTTAGTTTTCTATGTTGTGGTTACTGTAGATGTCTTTTCGTTTTTTCGTGTTTTGCCATGGCGTTGCCAGTTTGTTTTTTTACTTATCAGCTTAGATATCCCTTTGGTGTCTTTCGCCTCTCTGTGACTGAGAGAGAATATACATGGCAGGTGATGCAAACATAGCCAGAGACATTTACTTAGGACAAATCTGGTCTCGTTCCGTTTGGAGTTCATGCGATTCCCTCATACATTTTGAAAAAAAAAAGAAATTTTCACCTTGATTTGTATCTCCACAAAGTACTTGTGAGAACAAAATATTGGTAAACTACTATTGCCTTAAATTGTATACCTGAAGAAGAGAGGCGAAGGATGCCAATAGGAAAATCAAACTCGCAAGTCGAAAATAAACCGGCAACGCCATGGCTAAAACGAAAAAGACAAACAAACAACAGTACACAAAACACAACATAGAAAACCAAAGACTGAGCAACACGAACCTCACCAAAAACTTGGGGTGATCATAGGTGCTCCGGAAGGATAAGCAAATCCTGCTCCACATATGACACCCGTCGTGAAGAAATGATTTCACCATACCATGTCTGTAATCATACTCTGACGATCAATTTCCTAATTAGGACGGTTAGGTATGATATTTCCTAATGTTGACGGTAAAGTTTGGTATTCATATGAATTTATTGGACTTATCATATAATATACTTTTGTATTTTAAACCATCAGTTTAAAATTTATCATCATAACAAATGGGGAAACACACAAAGCACATACGTAATGAATTGAATGAAGCTATGGATTAATTTGAAGACCTTATTCAATCACAAATACAAAAAAGCACTTTTGTAATAAACATTTAAAATACAAATATGTTCATAACAAATGGGGAAACACACAAAGCATACACGTAATGAGTTGAATTTAACTATGGATTTATTTTTGCAGTCCTTATTCAATCACAACTACAAATAGAAAGAGCTTTTGTTAATAAATATTTACGATGCAAATATGTTCATCGAACACTATATTTGTTAACGTCCATTCTTAACATTAATACGCACATATGATTTCTTTTAAATATTTTACAGGTTAGGTTTATTCCGCCTTGTGCCATGTGAACAGCTTCTAACTAATGATAAACAGGTAAGTAAATTCACTTACATAAAAGATAGCAATAAAACACGTGAAAATCAAAAAGGAAGATAAATTTATGTATCTAATTATTTTCAATGTGTACGATTATAACTAGACGCTTTAATTGCAAAAAGCAATATGTTTTGATCTACAGTAAATAGTAACGATTACGGGCAATTTTTCTTTAATACATTTGCATACGATATTTCTGTTAGTCTCAATCAAAATTGATTTCTTTCCTTCATCTATTATGATTCGCAGAAATTTTGAGACCTCTTTTACTTGTTAATATATGTCGATAACAGCTGTTCTGTGGATTGTTTAGACCCTTATATGCCCTTTTATGTTCCTTAAGGTGGTACCTAACACTACAGGGAGATAACTCTGTAAAAATCAGCTAGACGTTTTAATCACGTTGTATTGTTAAGGAAATATTAAGCTTCTCAATGATCAAAAATAGTGTTTGTCAAACTGCTATATAACCAGTGAAATTTTTCTGATAAAGTGGTTGGTTCAAATTATTTGAAATTTTTATATTTTTGTCAAAGGGTCAAAGTAAACATTTTGTCAAAATTTAAGGAAAATTAAACGAGCCAAATTAATATTAGTCAAGGTGTTGGGTACCACCTTAAAAGTTGCTACATTCTATGAATATTTAAGCAATAGTTGTGGCTATCATAGCAAGATTACTATAGCATATTTTGACCCTGCTTCTCCAATTAAAGTGTCGTCTTTTATTTGTTCATTCATTAACAGATATGGACTCCTGAAAATAACATCTAAGTCAAGAATATGACAGTTGTTATCCATTCGTTTGATGTGTTTGTGCTTTTGATTTTGCCATTTAAATAGGGACTTTCCGTTTTGGATTTTCCTCGGAGTTCAGTATTTTTGTGATTTAACTTTTTATCTAAAATATAAGAACGACTTTAATCAACACAACAGTTTTGCAGTCAGAATCACAAATTGTTTGACCAATACGATGGGACTGTGTCTCAATTTACTGGCTACCACTAATTCATCTTATTGGTTACTTAATAGTAGCTGCAATTTCATATGTTTTATTATGTTTTTTACGTTTACTGAAATATTGGTCTAGATAGGCCAAACAAGAAGGTGGCCGTTGGCTTTTTCATTTGAATTGTTACAAATATATAATTTTGTCATACAGGGGCAATTTAAAGCTTACTGCACGGTAAAAGAGAGGCCTGTGAGAAGTGATTTACTCATTGTAGAAGACCACATGGTTATTGTGACCTATGGTTGTTTAATCATCGTCCTGTAGTCTATGGTGGATAGTTTACTCATTGGCAATTGTACCACTTCTTCCTTATTTTCTATTACCCCCGCCTGTACTAAGTAAATATTTCTAAATCAAATGTTGTTCGTTGCTGGTTGTCTTTGTCTGAACGTCTATCGATCGGATAATTGGGTGTTGTGGTTGTTGTGTCATTTTTACTCTCCAATATTTGTGGTAATTACTGTTATCTTCTTATTATTATATAAATCTATTATTGATATATTCATACGGTCAAAACTGTATATAAAGGTCATCCGCGGATACTAATGAATACATTTTAGTATTAAACGGTCATTTTGAGCTTTACATATCCGAAAAGTCATGTTCAGCCTTTCAGTCAATTTTCAAACTTATCCACTGCGTTAATTCAGTTCTGTTCAGACAATTATCTTGCAGTCAATTCAGTACCGTTCAGTAGCTTTGCATATAATTCAGTATTATTTTTGATGTGTACAGGTAAATAAGAACTACTGAACAGTTTGAACAAAGACTGAAGTGATCTTAATTGACTGCAAGTGAATAATTCCTTTTTACTAGCACGGCCGATTCACCATGTACTAATTTTCGACGTTTCCTTATTCGCCCGACTTGATGCCGAAAAAAAAAGAAGGAAAGTATGATAAAAATACTCATGGTTTTGAAATTTAAAAATAAAAGTCAAAGATAATGTTGGTTTTTATGGTCAATACCACAAATTGTCTTTCGAATACCACGTGTCAGCTTACGAAAAACATCTTTATGTAATTTATCTTTGAAGGCAAGAATAGTCATTTGATCTAACATCTCATGAGGGTTGATGCATATATAGCATAATATACTTATTTGTTGACGCACCGGGTCTCCCGTTTGTCACTCGTGCGATTACTTAAGCTAGTTTCAATTACGGCATATTTTGTTAATAGAAAAATAAAAGGTAAAACATTCTACACCGAGGTTCAAGTGATCAGTATGCTGGAGTTTCGTTTGACAACATATTTGTTGAATTTAGACGTAGACTTTTTCAACAAATTGTCGGCATTCCTATAGGAACGAACTGTTTGCCTCTCCCTGCCGAACTCTTATTTTCATAGAGTCGGAGTTCCTTCAGACATTTATCAAAACCAAGAAGATCGGAGAAGCCAGATAATTTAATTTCACATTCAGGTATATTGATAATGTTCTTTCCATTAACAATCCAACCTTTTCTGACTGGGTTCCAGTTATATATCCTCCAGAACTAGAAATTAAAGAAACATCAGACACGGCTTCCACCGCCTCATTTTTAGACTTTTTCATCGAGTTGGTCATAAGCGGTCATAACAGCACCAGAATCAATGACTAACGAGACGATTTTAATTTTGAAATTATAAATTTTCTTCACCTTAGCAGCAATATACCAACTTCACCTGCATATGGGATATACATTTCCCAAGTCATTTGGTATTCAGGAGCTTGTAGCTGCTACTCAGACTTTATAAAACGTCACCAGTGTCTGAGCAGAAATGTTCTGAACCAGGGTTATGTCAAAGAACGTCTCTTCCTTTTTCTAAAATAGAATAGTACTTCGGAAGATAACAAGACCTTGTATTTAACGAAGAGTTCGGTATTTTTGTTATTTAACTTTTTAGTCGTTATATTCAAAATTTATTTGCCAGTTGCGCTTCTGATGCACGAAATTTTTAGGGTGACATTTCTTATTATATTGTTAATAGAAACTACAAACAAACTGCAGTCAACACCAAATATTTTAAAAGAACACATTAAGATATCAGCGAATACAATTGCTGACGAGGTGATGTCCATCGGTTAGAAGTGAAAGTTGAAATTATCCCTTCGTAAATTTTACGGACACCATCACGAGTTGGTTCACCGTTATGGAATAACCGTTTCACAGATGATATCGGATATGTTCCTTATGTCGTAACTACAATACCTTTCCCTTTTCACGAATGTGACCTACCGAATTAGACTATTTACCGGATTTGTTATAACATAAGCAACACGACGGGTGCCACATGTGGAGCGGGATCTACCTACCCTTCCGGAACACCTGAGATCACCCCCAGTTTTTGATGGGGTTCGTGTTGCTTAGTCTTTAGTTTTCTATGTTGTGTCATCTGTACTATTATTTGTCTGTTTGTCTTTTTATTTTTGGCCATGGCGTTGTCAGTTTGTTTTCGATCGTTGAGTTTGACTGTCCCTCTGGTATCTTTCGTCCCTCTTTTAGAGCGTAAATTGTATTAAAATTAAGATTGGTTGCCTCAGAAGTGACAGACATGATATAATAGAAAAACAAAGGATCTGGGGTATCCATCCATGACACAAAATCAGTACATGCATAGCAAACAACACATAAAAAGCAAAGGAACAGCGCTGTTGATGCTGTTCTTCTATCAACATAAATATGATTGTAAATTGATTGCCGTAATTTCGGTTTGTTTTAGTTCTAATAATAACAGTTTCAGTTGATCTTTCAGGTTGGTACAAAGTATAGCCAAGAAATGAAATGGATGAATAATGATAACTTTATCAAAATGATTTGGTTGTGGACGCCGTTGTTTGCCAATTTTACAAAAGTAAATTCAACAAGGAGTAACAATGTCAAGTATGACGTAATGAACGACCAATCAATGGACGATTCAGTTATGACGTTACCTACACAACCATCTAATTACGATCATCTGTTAAAAGTTCGTCTGCTGGCGCTAACAACGTCTTCCATTGCCATTGAGTGGAATTATGAAGAAACTGTTTTTAGCAATAAAACAATGCTTGGATCAAAAGTGGAATATTTTCTAAATAGTGGTAAATTTTCTTCCGATATGTTACAACCGCATATACATTCTTTTACGTGTGAGCATTTAAAAGTTGCAACAAAATACACCATTTGCATTTCTGTGTATTTAAGTGAGCTTGTATATTTAAGGGAGGACGACTCCATTGTTTTATCAAAATGTTTCGGAGCTGAAACAATACCATACATTCGTAATGATTCTATTTTAGTTCTTGTTATTTTACTTTCATATTATTTATTTATGGGAATGATTGGGGTTTGTCAATGGAAAAGAAAATGTCGTATGCAGACGTCTAAAAATAGACGAAATGAAATCGTGCAAAATACCGAAAATAATATAAACAGTAATTCAACTATGCGATTCAGGGAATTGGAGGAACAACAACGATTAACAAACCCAGTATGTTCAATTGAAGAATCACGCATTTAAAAACGCGTGTCTATATCTCCTCAGGGTATACCAACTTACCAGTAATAAGAAATAAGTCCAAAATTTCGTGTCATAGTGTCATCCGAGATTCAATTTGCATTTGATATCTGGCGTGTGAATATACATAATGTGGTTTATAATGAGTAAGATATTATTTATTGTCAACTTTATTGGAAAAGGAACGTGATGAATTTGAGAAATGTACAAAGATTTACGTTTTTGTATTGGACTATTTATACTCAAGAAACCCAAGATATATGAGTTCAGTTATTCTTAATACTTCAACAGAAAATATTTCAATATGAAGTATTGATTTCTTGGATCACCTCTACGCAGTAGTGGGACGAGACTTAGATGTGCAGTTTCCGTAGTCGACGACCACAGTTTGTTAAAGTTTGTGATTAGGTCATTTTAGGGGAACCACTGAATATAAAGCAATGATATTTGGTATTTATTTGTATAGGCATTGACACGTATTATTTCCAAGGCGATTATTTGCTCCATCAGTCATGCTCTATCGCCCTTGAAAATTTTGTTGAGTTTAGATACAAAAGTTTGTGATTAAGTCAGTTTAGGGTGAACCGTTAATGGTAATTAAATGATATTTGGTGTGCTTCTATGTTATTTGGTCTCTTGTGGAGAGTTGTCTCATTGACAATCATACCACATCTTCTTAGTTTTATAGTTATATCAGCATTTTTTTATATCATTTCCATTTGGATTAAATGGTTCTGCCCATCAGTAGTTGGCTATTGACTTTTTAATTTTTTGCCTAGTTTTCATGTAAATTGTAGTGATTAGGTCAGTTTAAGATGAACCACTTATGTTAATTAAGTCAATGATATTTTGTCTGTAGTTGTATTAGTATAGCATATCGTTTTTCCAGGGCGAATATTTGACCATGCACCTTCAGTCATGTTAGATTGGCCTTGAGTGTTTTGTATAGTTTACATGTCAACGATTGCCATTTTAATTTCAACATCTAAATTGTCGATAAAAATTTATACAGACAAGACCTATTCCTTTGTCAACAGTTTAAGATTTAGCTATTTTAAAAAATACATTGAAAGAATATTAGTACGATTTACACACATTTTTTTTTATGATCACACTCAGTTTAGATAATTTATTGTTTTGAGGCTTAGATGCATTGCTTTTATTGAATTTTAACAAATCGGATTCATTGACCATATTAAAAATGTAAGTTTTGGACGGATTTATCCAGATGGGTAATCAGTATATTTATAAAAAAAAATGTTTTGTGTTAATCATTGTGGATAATGTTTCCTAGTTAAAACAAAAAGCCATCAATGGTTCCAGTCAATATACAAATGTATGTTATCAAAGTATCCATTTTGTCGTTCATTGTTCTTGATATAATTTAAGCATGATATAGTTCAAGATATTTAGTGGCCTTCATTGATTTACGGATGTCTAGACTCAATTTACTTTGGGATGTTACTTCAATGTAAAATACATTAATGTATTTAATGCATAAAATGGCATCATAGGAAAGTTTCAGCATGTATTGACTAAGATAATAGACACTGTACATACTGATACATCAGCGATTTATATGACAATCATCATGCAGATATATATGAGATCATACAACAAAATAACAATGTACTAATATTTTTATATTGTCTATAACCTATAAATGTCGTTGTCTCTAACATAATATTAAAAAAATGCAGTATTAAATTAAGTGAACGTAATTAGTTATTTTTTTTGTAAAAAAAGTGGAATCGGAGTTATACTTTATTTCCCGAAACTGGCATATATTATGTGAATATTTCTTGAATGATAGGTCGAATTAATACAACTTTCCTTCTATCTGCTTTTCACAGTTTCGGCCATGTGCTTGACAATAACAACAGACATGGAAGAGTAACAAAAACATTGACGGTAAGAGATACGAAGGGGCATGGCGATATACATAAGAACATTAGGTTTCTGGTGGAAAGTTGTCCATAAATACTATATCGTGAAGTTTTTTGTAATAATGTTTATTATATTGTTCGATATTCTGATAAATGCCATATTAAGGATGTACTTAGGTGAAATTAAAAAAAGTCTAAAATTTAAAATTGATACTATAAATCAGAAGAGCATTAGTTAAGGAACATAATTAGCTAAAAATATTATTTGGTTATGGAGCTCCTTTTCGAGATATTTATTTTTAAAATTTTAAAATCTGCTTAAATTTTGGTAAATGACCTTTTATGAGCTATTGAAAAATATTTTACCCTGTATCGTAGGAAAAAAACCAAGGAGTCCGAACATCTGACAAAAATTCCTAAACCTGACCTAAGTACACCCTTAAGTCAAACTCAGTCCTCTGGTGTTTTAATCTTGTAAATCGATAAAGGAGAGACAAATCAAGGTAACAATCACAAACCCAGAAAGAAGCGAGCCCGAGTGTGCCGACAGTGTGCCGACAGTGTAAATGTCTCCTGTTATGCATGCATACGACAGCCCACCATTTACTAAAAGTCAACAAAAAATGAATACTGTTTATCAGACGAAAAAAACAGTTGTCATCTCTGCTGATGAGATTGTAAAATTCTTTTGTATGGTTCATGTCCATGGCATACATTCCTTGCATATTGACGACGAGAATACATTAATAATTAATCCAAAATGTTTTGTTATTAAGCCTGACCGGAATAAAAATGTTGAAATACCACGAGCAAATAGGCATTGTAAGATAGCTGTGGACATTTAACCTTGGAAAAGAGAGGCGAAGGATACCAAAGGGACATTCAAACTAATAAATCGAAAACAAACTAACAACGCCATGGCCAAAAATGAAAAAGGCAAACAGACACACAAAAGTACACAAAACAACATAGAAAACCAAAGACTGAGCAAAACGAACCCCACTAAAAACTGGGACTGATCTCAGTGGTCTGGAAGGGTAAGCAGATCCTGCTTTACATGTGGCACTTGTTGTGTTGCTAATGTAAGTACAAACCCGGTGATATGTCTAATTCGGTAGGTCACATTCGGGTGAAAAGTAACGATATTGTAGTTACGACAATTGGAACATATCCGTTGTCATCTGTATAACAGATATTCCGTAACGGTCAACCAACTCGTGATGGAGTCCGTAAAATTTACGTAGAAATGATTTCAACTTCACTACTTGGAACTCTTGGTTTAGTAGCTTCTTCGTGAGCAGCAAACCTCTATCAAGGAAATCACGATATAGTAGGGTGCCCAGTCAACAAATTTGATCGATTTGGGTTAACGGAATAACACACGGCTAGATTTTATATCATTGGAAAGAGGAGAACAAGCCTCGTCGAAATATTGATGTCGTCGTTGTCTACAGTGGTCACGATTTTCTTTAATTTGGGTCAAAGGTCAAATCTAAAATTTCAAGGAAAACGTAGAGTCACGTTTATACAGCTGGCCACCCCTACATATTTGCGTTTATAGCAAAATAAATTCAAATAATTCAAAGGATTATAACTAAAGTTTCTATATTTAGGACTAATTTGATAATTTTATTGCCAAATATGGTTCGAGATTGACATTTGTACTTATAGGGTGCACATTTACAATTTTCATTCAGCTGTTAAATAACAATGACCTTGACCTTTTAACAGTTCCAAAATCGGAATTTTTACATAAGATTCGATACAAGTGATCTTTAGAGATGTTTTTTAGATATTAACACTTATAAGTTGCCCTCCCAAAATGTTACTTTTTCCGTCTTTTGATAGAAGGTGTTCGTCATGATTTTCTGGGTAAATATCCAATTTTCTTTTGGTGAACGTGGAAGCACATCAAATAGTACTTAGTTCCAAAACTGATTAGCAGGTCTGAGTATATATTTGCTTTACAGAAATAAAAAAAAAAAAACTGCAAACGGTGAAAAAGGGGGAGGGTTTGTGTTACAAGTTATGAAAACAAAATGAGAATTAGAAACAGCAGGCTAATCACTCTATCTACACACTTATATCAAGTGTAATGTGCATGACTTATCGAACATAAATTGGCCTACAATGGACATGAAGTTAAAGATTATCCACAAAAAGAAAGTTTTGTACAGCATCGATGTATTTTACAAACACTTGTAAACAACATCAATCTAAGTAAAATATAGATCTCTGATTTCGTTATCCTCATTTGAGCTTATATATAAGAGCACGCGAGTTAATAAAGATCAGAATTTTAATAAGACCGAAACAACACAGAAAAATTACCGAAGCTAGTAGTAGCCATTACGTTTCATTGTCTACTGGTAAGTTGAAAGCCCATCGAATAGGTTTAGGTAAGAGAGATAATTTCAGTTGTTCTTTTCGACGCAAGTAGCAGAATGCGAGGCATACAGAATACAATCTGATGGTGGTAGCGGCAACACCGTAAAATATTTGTATAGCTTTATATTTCAGAGGGCAGAGGAACTAGATGATTCATACTTTGTATATAGATCCACTGTGTTATGAACTTTTCGTCATATAATCATTATCCTTGACCTCATATTCATGGTTAAGTGACTGCTAAAAAACTGTATAGCTTTTTTCGTCATGTGAATGTCTCAATTATCACGAGTTCTAGGATAACTATATTTGGTTACTAATATATGGTATCCTTGCAATGTCTACATGACCGTCAGACATGATTCACCTGACCTCGATCTAATTTCACGGATCAGTGAATAAGGTTAAGTTTCAGTGGTCAAGTCCGTACAGTCTCAGATAGTAGTGGGTTAAATATATTTGGTGTATGGAACTGTAACAAGGTGTACGCGATTTTGTTGCAGAGTTCATCTGACCTTACTTCATTTACATGGAACATTGATAGTGTTAATTTTATGTACTATTTGTTGTATAATATAAAAATTAGATGTAGAAGCAAGCAATTATAAGCAACCGTACAGCCTTCAACAATGTGAAAAACTCATACCGTATGGTCGGCTATAAAAGGCCAGTTATGAAAAAAATGAAAGAATTCATTTGAAAAAAAAACTAACGGCCTGCAGCCAGTTGTACGAACGTGGCATTAGCCTAATGGGTCATTAAGTCTTCATTAAGCCTTTATGCTGCATTAGGCTAATGAAGACTTAATGACTCATTAGACTAATGACACGTTCGTACAACCGGCTGCTGATTTATATCAAAAGCTAGTTTTTACGGTAATGATGTCTATGATCTGACTTTTCTCAGACTATTGATGACGTCCTTTCATTAGTTTTCAGTAAGGGAACACCCATTTGATTTCGAAAACAGGGAGGGAATGAGGATTTTGAAAATGAATTACTTGGCCTGGTATGAACTGAAATA